CCCACCCAGTTCTCTGTTCCGTGTCGGCAAAATATTAATTTATGTCAATACCGATTATCACAAATTACATGAAGTGCTCGCTCCTCGCCATCTGTCATTTCTAAAGTACTTGCTGCTCGCATGACAAAACTGATCACTCCTCTTGCTCGCAAAAATAAACGCACTGCTCGCATGCTCGCAAAGACCATTCGATACCGCTCTTAGGCGTTTATTTTCCTTTTTTCCTTTGTTTTCAGCCTCGCTACTCTTACTCACGTCTTTTGACACCTTTAGTGACAACATGTTATGACCTACGACGTAACCACCGTAAAAGGATTTCCAATTTTATCTGAAGGAAGCCTCAGGTTATTAGCCCAAGGGCGAATTTTTGTTTTTCCGTTCGTAGAGAAGTCTCAAAATAAGCTAGATGTAAGTCCGATAACATTTTAGGTTCGTGTTTTTGAAAGTATTTCCCGCCTTCTTCGAACTTCCGCTTCTCGCCCTTTCCTCTCCCGCTTCCCGCCGCTTCCGGACTTCCCCCTATGTCCTCCCCCCCAACTTGTGTGGTGTTTAAGTCATGATCGTCATTTTATGTGTTGGGAAGTTTTGGTCAAAAACTTGGATTAGTCAAGACACAGGTTACATGGATTTCACCCTCTCTTGTCGGTTCAACGGAATGTTTGTAAGATATATAATATAAGTAAATGAGCAGGAGAAAACCCATAAAGAAAATTATATGGAACTTTTATCCCACCTCAACCATTGTAAAGTTTTAAAACTTTTTATACCCTCTTACACAAACTGAAAATACTCAAGAAATACGCGAAATATTTTCCATGTTTCTCTCGAATTATCGAAACACGAACAAGCGGGTGTTTCCACAGCTTTCTCGAATTCCCCCGAAACTTTCACGGGCCGGTGGTGATTCACGAGTCGATAGAAACATGGCCAAAGTCACCACGAGAAAATGAAAGGAACGTCACTCGGCACTAGTCAATTGGTAGGTTTTCACTGAAATTTGCTTTCGAAACGTGAAAACGGCTGTTATAGAGTTTCTCGGAAGTGAAGAAAGTTCGACTCCATGGCGACATTTTGGGCTAACGTACCCAATCGCAACATCACAGCTGAGTTTCTTCGAGAATCAGGTAACAAACTATCCCAGTCTGGTACCAGGGAGAAAATCGAGCTTTGAACGCTCAAATTTAAATCATCCCATTTAGATCACTGGAAGACAGAGTATGGAACAATCAGCGGTCTCGTCTTTTGTGCGGACCTCCGTGGAAGCGGCATCGGAAAAGCAAGCATTTCGAGAAGTGATCTGTGTCAACAATTACTTTGAGACTGAGAAAAGTTGAATTTTTTTAAATAAATTAATCTCATAGACATTTTGTCCATTGGGTTTATTAAATTCGAGACAAACCAATGGTTTTTTTATCTTAAGGTAATTTCAAGACCAATTTTGTGTTTGGTTTAGTCTCGCTCGACTGCCGTGTGAGACCGCTCCAGTATTTTTTCTGAGTCATTGTTTAAAAAAAGAAACGGCTTTTTCTTTCTTTTTCCAGCTTCTCGTACTTTTTTTACCTTATCTTTTGCCCAGTCACGTAAAATGTGATCTAAATTCTCAAAACTTTCCGCCATTTTTAAAGAGAGAGAGAGAAAAACTTTGTAATGTGCAGGTTGCAAAGAATGGCTAACGCTCCCAACCTTGAGCAACTCATTAAGGATCCCACCAGAATTATGGAGAACTCAAGATCGCTGATAGACCTTATTTTCGCGAGCTCAAGTCATCACCTCAGTGATCATGGAATTATTCATCCCTCCTCGAGTGATCACTCAATGGTTTATTGCGTTGTTAAAGTGGGCATGAAGAAAGCTCCCGGAAGAATTATCGAATACCGCTCTTTCAAATCCTATGACATAGGAAACTTTATTAACGACCTGAAATGTATTGATTGGACTCTTCTGGATAATAATCCTTGACTTATCCAAGGCCTTTAACACGGTGGACCACTAGTTATTAATCAAGAAACTGAGATCTCTTGGTCTTGATAGAGGGGGGTCAAGGGGGGGAGGGGAGGGTCTTGTCACGAAGTCACGATAGTAACTTTTCGACTGCACGAATCACGAAACAAAAAATTCACTTTTCACGATTCTCGAACATGTGCACGAAACTGTAATCAAAATTTGTACAAAAAAGTGCACTCTTTAACTTTACCAATAATTTACAGCTGTTGGAAAGGTAATATTTGAAATCTTAATTTTTTGGTTTTACTTAAAGAGGCCTCTTAAGAGAAATATCGGACTTGGACAGCTCTTCTACTGCGAGTTGTTACGGCTCTTAAGAAGGTCAGAGTATCGTCGTCGTTGTCACTGATTCAACAACCGCGAGGACTCTGTCGGATGCAGCAGCCATGATCTTTACCAGTCTGAGTTAAACCGAATCCACACATGTCGTTCATCAATGGCTCATCAGTCAAACATCCTATTGAGACGGATTCATTGGCTAATACGGTGATCAGGAAATCAACGGGTTTATTTAAACCTGTCAACATATTTCGTCTGTCGCTACTCTCAGTCGGCTTGACTCAAGCGCTAAATTCACTAAGGTCACGGGAAAAATCTGATCACAATGCAGTGAAATTCAGTTACGAACTCAACTTTAGACATTCACGATTTATTTCTTA